ATAATTTATATATAAATTTAATATTATATCAATATGGAAGAAACAAAACTTTTCACATAATTCTTCCCGTAACATCAAACCAACTTTTTCAAACAAAAGAGTTTTAACTCAGAACCATACATGTTTATCCAGTGATCAAACAAAATCAAACCCACTTGCAACGTATAAATGTGCGGACAAGTACCCCGCACAGTAAGAACAGAAATTCGTGGGTGCTACTGTTAAAAGGGGAGAGACGAAATGTGATAGAAATGTATGGTGAGATGAGCTGCAAACTTTAGCCGCTCATGCAACCACTTTGGCAAATCATCATATTGGATTCGTATGCATGCATTTGATATTCCAATAGAACAGAAAATTACTCTCATACAATTCCCACTATATAAATCTCTATTTCTGATATTATATTATTTCTATTACGAGCACACGCACATTATTTTGTTCATATGCAAAATATGAATGTGTGGCAAACTTCTTTGCACACAAAGGGGAGAGACGAAATATAATAGAAATGTTCTGTGATTTGAGCTGCAAATATATGAGCACAACTAACAAGTATAGCAGCTAACAGAAGCAAATTGATTGAGTTTTCATAGACAATTATATTTAATTGTTTTTGCTAAAACTTTAAAAATATGTATGGATATGGAAATCTAATAAATAATAATAATTGTTGATGTGAAGATACTTAATAAATTCCTTTACCTAAGTTATTTGACATTTTGCAAATTATGTTAGGGTGTTCACCGCACACCTCCGCACCATAGAGCAGTCGTCCCTGGACTTGAAAGATTAATAACCTCCATTACGAATATTGAAACTCCAGCAAAAAAATTCCAGCAATCTTAGTCTATAAATTTCATTGTTAACTATAATCGTCAGTTGATTAAGTTTAATTAAGATATTAACAAATAAAAGTGTTAACTGAAATAGGCCAACGATTCTATTGTATTATCCGTTGTTGTTGTTGTTGTTGTTGCTGTTCTTGTTGCTATACTGCTGTAACCAAATGCCCATTTCACAGCAAACACACAAAAGGTTGACAAGACTTTGTACATGGAATGAGATGAGGAAGAAAGTATAAAAACACGATGTAGGTACCGGTATGAAAGTTGTATTTAACATGGGTCCAGGTGAAATGCTTGCACTTGTCTATAGCAGTTTTGTAACTTCAAAATATCTTGATAATATTATTAATAAATTTAAATTTTGTTATTACTAGAGAGCACCTAGTCTAAGTTTAATAACTATTTAGCTGTTTTTATATATTTCACATATATGTAAGTTTTGTGTAATATAGTAAAGTTAGTACCTTTTAGGTAGTAAAAAGATATCGGAAAACATATTCCCTATGAGTTGAATAATATAAACCTTTATTTGAATAATCCGATATTATCCAACATAACATATCTCCTTCAACATAAAAGAGTCTGTCTGTTTTCGAGGGATAAAAATGAGAACATTTGAAAAAATATTAAAAGTCATTTCTTTATCAATTCAAATACTGAAAAACGGAAGAACTGACAATATGATATATATTAATATTAATATATTTTCTATATTTCACCCTTAAGTTCCTCTGCAATGAATCACATGCCATATTTACTTAACATGAACCTCTGCCAAACAAATTGGTGTTATGCGGGTACCACACTGTCTACATATTATATTATTGAAGTTTTCACTTCATTATAAACTCAATTAATGTGCAACGATAAGAATAATTTTTAAATAAAATGAATAGTTCTGTGTCAATCGCAGAACAATAAATATAATAGTGTAAAGGTATAATATATGCATATGTTTACGGTTATATGAACTCAAATTGAAAATATATAATTTCAATCATTATCACAAAGTATATACCGAATTAGTCTTGTTAAATAATAAAAATAATGTGGCTCATTATTTATTATTTAAATGAATAATAAATGAATACTGACCACAAATAGTGCTCTAAACAATATAAGAAATAGGTGTGAAAACAGTCTAATGTGTATACTATAAAGATTCTATCTCTTTATATTATTTACCCTCCTTTTTATTCACCTAAGCTACTACCTAGCCACACCTAAGTATCTATATAAAATCATGATTGTAATAATTTCATTAACTATTTAAACTCAAACTAATTTTTAATTAAAAAGAAGTCAATAAAATATTAATTTATACTTATAGACAATGTTGCTTGTAAATCCTACCAAAGCTGTTACTGTACCATATACAATTTGGAATATCATGACATCACGCGGCTTATTGCTTACTGCTTACAGCTGACTAGGTCTATTAAATTATGCGATATGGAATCAATGTCATCACTAAAATACTAGACCTGTCGGATTCTGTATCTGATGTTTTTTTTTCGCATTTCATACGAATTACTAGTGCGATGGATGTTAAAAAGCTCATGGATGAAATCGAAATTTATTTGACAAAATGTATGCGATAAAAAGAAGGAAATTATTTTTAATCCATTTAAATGTGGGCTTAAAATTTCGAATTTAGATAAAAAAGACTTAAATGGAAAGTAATATTAATGGGAAGTTTAACCAAATATGCACCTATCCAAGAAGAAATGTTTATAAAGCCGAAAATATGTTACAACCTCTCTAATGACAAATGAAGAGTGATTGTGAAAATAAAAAAGAACAATTTAATTTACAAAGGAAAAATGTACCTATATTTGTATTTTAAAATTTATATACAATATATACAATATAACAATATTTATGTCTCATTTAGATATAACTGAACGACATTACTTAGGATATTTTCTTAATAAAATAGAATACTAGAACAAGGAAAGTCACCAATGTTGCAAATTTGATTGTCCATTGAACTAGGGTTCTATCAATTCTGGAAAATAGTTTCATCGCTTATTATGGATTGTAGAAAGTAAAAATCTTTTCTATTATAAAAAGTATAACCGAATATGAAGCAATTTTTCGTTTAATTCATATGGTATTTTGAAGTTATCCTTTAATTTTCAATTGAACAATTTATTTATAAGTTTCTTATAAAATTGAGCGATTCTCCAAAATTAAACTAATGTTGTTTTTAAAGATAAATACGACGAAAATTACGAAGAAAACTGTTTTGCTAATGCAAAGGTTTTTGAATAGTACCAAATTATAACAAAATTATTTTATTTTTAAATTGATTATTAATTATTTTATAATTAAAATCATGGCATAACAAGTAAAAAATTATAAAATGTAACTGAGAGGTTTCGAACAGTAGTGAATTGTAAAAACGGAATTTTTAGTTAATTGAATTTTTAGCTGACCATACAGCTGTTTCGAGTAATAGCTGTTTCTAGCGAATACCCCATCCTTTTAAATATTTTTAATGCTGACCTACCCCTTCCTTCACAATGCATTAGGCAAATCTGCTACGCAGATGATTGTCTCATCTACATGAGGTCCAACCTCCTCAGTTGAAAGTACATTGAGCTTAACAATTAACTTAGGACTCTTTATTTACTACGTTACTACGGTAAGTGGAAGATTAAGGTCAATGCCCTAAAAGGTTCCGTCTTCGCGATAGCCCTTATGGGCCAGTGTGCTGATCGCGTCTGTACCTTTAAAACCTCGGAATAAACTGTCGTATAAAAGGTGTGTTTTGGATACTGTCAAGATATCGGAAAATATAAGTTCGAGTGCAGTGTTGTTCGAAGACTTTTATGATTTTTATATGTGCGAGAGAAATTTTTTTGTGCCTGTGAAGATTTTTTTTATTTTTGTAAATTTTCGTGAATTAAAATTGTAAATGAAAGGTACTGAAGGAGATTAAATAAAAAGATTCAAGATTTTTAACAATTAAAAACAATACATATCCTTGTTTAAATAGTGGTAATAAATTAACATATAAATGAAATACGTGTGATGAAATTAATCGAGCATAGGTGTTCCAACACTCATTTATAATAATTTCAACAATCATCTGCCATACTAAAAAGTTGGACTATATGAATAAGGGCAGCATTATACACCGTTAAAATAATGAAATACCGAGACGGTGAACAGGTATTTAAAAAGTGACCGCGAGTAACGGAGAAGATAACCGAGTCCACATTTGAAAAGATCTTATAAGCAGTACAATTCCTACAAATTTTATTATTATATTAAAAAAAATTTGATTTTAAATTTAAAATTCATAAGAAAAATTTTGTTTTGAGGAGAAATCTTAAACACAATAATACGAATCAATTAAAAATTTATGCATATATATATATATATATAATTTAGTTAAACATAAATTAAGAAAAGAAATTTAAATAATTAAAAACATATTTTTTTGTTATGATATAAAACAATTTATTTTATAAATAAGTAGTAATTGAAGTGAATTTAAAAGCAAATGTTGTTTAAATCAATATCGGTAAATGAAATAAGTGCATATAATTTTTATACAATGTAAAAGTTTAAGGAAAATAATTACATATAAATTACAAAAATGATTGAAAAACCTTAAAAGAAATTAATTTATAAACCATATATATGAATGATATATAATGGTTAAAAATACATAAAAGCACCACAACATCAAAGAAAAATTCTATAAACTCAAATAATTTAGAGTTTCATTTGTTTCAAATACATTTTTTTTCTTAAAAGTTTCAACCAAACACAAAGAACATATATATCTCGAAAAGACGGATTCTTTCCATATGGGCGAAAGAGATTGCAGACCAAATAAACAGTTTTAAAATGCCTTATTTTAATTTCTTTTTGAAGTCTAGCACTAAATCCATTTCAATTTACATAATCCTAACCTCATATAAGAAAAAATTTTACAAGATTTTGTTCTAAAAGCCTAATGTGGAAGTGTTTTGTCCGAATAATATTATGTACACTATACACTATTAAACATGTCATTTCAATATCAAAGAACATATTTATTGCCACCACTGTAAATGACAGTTATCAAATGACAACTAAAAAACAAATAAAGTAAATGGAGGAAATTACTTAAATTTAAAAGTAAAGTAAATTATTTATAATCTAACAATATCAACTTACAATGAATTTATAAGATAAATTGACAATGTAAATTTAAAATGAAATCAGTTGCACTTAACAACAAAACAGATCCAAAAGTTAAAAAAAATTAATCAGTAACAATTAAAAAGATTAATACGACGTACATATATCATTTGAAAGAAATTATTACTGGAAAAATTAAACAAGTGGCAGAGAGATGAATCGATTTTTGGTGATTATATAGTTGGCATCTTGGAGAGTGATGAAATGCATGAATAAAAAGCAGATACTTTACAGGAACTGTTAGGTGCAGTGGTGGTGAGTTTGTGACAATAATATTAAGCGTATATAACATTACTTTAATCCTGTTATAGGGTGATACAAGTTAATTTTAGTTAAAATGATATGAGGAAAAAGCACGAAAAATATAACCTGTTAACAAGGCACTCCAATATACAGAGGAAGAGCGTCAGACACGTAAGCAAATGTTAGCACATTACTCAAAGGTGATACCAACAAAATATTTAAATTGTGAAATTATTGAGAAAGTAGGATTATAATATGTAAAAAAGGCACAAAGTTCTAATAGTTGACGTATTGATTGTATAGTGACTTGAGAGATTAATAACCTCCATTACGAATATTGAAACTCCAGCAAAAAAATTCCAGCAATCTTAGTCTATAAATTTCATTGTTAACTATAATCGTCAGTTGATTAAGTTTATTTAAGAAATTAACAAATAAAAGTGTTAACTGAAATAGCACCTAGTCTAAGTTTAATAAGAATTTAGCCGTTTTTATATTTTTCATATATATGTAAGTTTTGTGTAATATAGTAAATTTAGTACCTTTTAGGTAGTAAAAAGATATCGGAAAACATATTCCCTATGGGTTGAATAATATAAAACTTTATTTGAATAATCCGATATTATCCAACATAACATATCTGCTTCAACATAAAAGAGTCTGTCTGTTTTCGAGGGATAAAAATGAGAACATTTGAAAAAATATTCAAAGTCATTTCTTTATCAATTCAAATACTGAAAAACGGAAGAACTGACAATATGATATATATTAATATTAATATATTTTCTATATTTCACCCTTAAGTTCCTCTGCAATGAATCACATACCATATTTACTTAACATGAACCTCTGCCAAACAAATTGGTGTTATGCGGGTACCACACTGTCTACATATTATATTATTGAAGTTTTCACTTCATTATAAACTCAATTAATGTGCAACGATAAGAATAATTTTTAAATAAAATGAATAGTTCTGTGTCAATCGCAGAACAATAAATATAATAGTGTAAAGGTATAATATATGCATATGTTTACGGTTATATGAACTCAAATTGAAAATATATAATTTCAATCATTATCACAAAGTATATACCGAATTAGTCTTGTTAAATAATAAAAATAATGTGGCTCATTATTTATTATTTAAATGAATAATAAATGAATACTGAGCACAAATAGTGCTCTAAACAATATAAGAAATAGGTGTGAAAACAGTCTAATGTGTATACTATAAAGATTCTATCTCTTTATATTATTTACCCTCCTTTTTATTCACCTAAGCTACTACCTAGCCACACCTAAGTATCTATATAAAATCATGATTGTAATAATTTCATTAACTATTTAAACTCAAACTAATTTTTAATTAAAAAGAAGTCAATAAAATATTAATTTATACTTATAGATAATGTTGCTTGTAAATCCTATCAAAGCTGTTACTGTACCATATACAATTTGGAATATCATGACATCACGCGGCTTATTGCTTATTGCTTACAGCTGATTAGGTCTATTAAATTATGCGATATGGAGTCAATGTCGTCACTAAAATACTAGACCTGTCGGATTCTGTATCTGATGTTTTTTTTCGCATTTCGTACGAATTACTAGTGCGATGGATGTTAAAAAGCTCATGGATGAAATCGAAATTTATTTGACAAAATGTATGCGATAAAAAGAAGGAAATTATTTTTAATCCATTTAAATGTGGGCTTAAAATTTCGAATTTAGATAAAAAAAGACTTAAATGGAAAGTAATATTAACGAAAATAGTTTCATCGCTTATTATGGATTGTAGAAAGTAAAAATCTTTTCTATTATAAAAAGTATAACCGAATATGAAGCAATTTTTCGTTTAATTCATATGGTATTTTGAAGTTATCCTTTAATTTTCAATTGAACAATTTATTTATAAGTTTCTTATAAAATTGAGCGATTCTCCAAAATTAAACGAATGTAGTTTTTAAAGATAAATACGACGAAAATTACGAAGAAAACTGTTTTGCTAATGCAAAGGTTTTTAAATAGTACCAAATTATAACAAAAATATTTTATTTTTGAATTGATTATTAATTATTTTATAATTAAAATCATGGCATAACAAGTAAAAAATTATAAAATGTAACTGAGAGGTTTCGAACAGTAGTGAATTGTAAAAACGGAATTTTTAGTTAATTGAATTTTTGGCTGACCATACAGCTGTTTCGAGTAATGGCTGTTTCTAGCGAATACCCCATCCTTTTAAATATTTTTAATGCTGACCTACCCCTTCCTTCACAATGCATTAGGCAAATCTGCTACGCAGATGATTGTCTCATCTACATGAGGTCCAACCTCCCCAGTTGAAACTACATTGAGCTTAACAATTACATTAGGACTCTTTGTTTACTACGTTACTACGGTAAGTGGAAGATTAAGGTCAATGCCCTAAAAGGTTCCGTCTTCGCGATAGCCCTTATGGGCCAGTGTGCTGATCGCGTTTGTACCTTTAAAACCTCGGAATAAACTGTCGTATAAAAGGTGTGTTTTGGATACTGTCAAGATATCGGAAAATATAAGTCCGAGTGCAGTGCTGTTCGAAGACTTTTATGATTTTTATATGTGCGGGAGAAATTTTTTTGTACCTGTGAAGATTTTTTTTATTTTTGTAAATTTTCGTGAATTAAAATTGTAAATGAAAGGTACTGAAGGAGATTAAATAAAAAGATTCAAGATTTTTAACAATTAAAAACAATACATATCCTTGTTTAAATAGTGGTAATAAATTAACATATCAATGAAATACGTGTGATGAAATTAATCGAGCATAGGTGTTCCAACACTCATTTATAATAATTCCAACAATCATCTGCAATACTAAAAAGTTGAACTATATGAATAACGGCAGCTTTATACACCGTTAAAATAATGAAATACCGAGACGGTGAACAGGTATTTAAAAAGTGACCGCGAGTAACGGAGAAGATAACCGAGTCCACATTTGAAAAGATCTTATAAGCAGTACAATTCCTACATATTTTATTATTATATTAAAAAAAATTTGATTTTAAATTTAAAATTCATAAGAAAAATTTTGTTTTGAGGAGAAATCTTGAACACAATAATACGAATCAATTAAAAATTTATGCATATATATATATATATATATATAATTTAGTTAAATGTAAGTTAAGAAAAGAAATTTAAATAATTAAAAACATATTTTTTTGTTATGATATAAAACAATTTATTTTATAAATAAGTAGTAATTGAAGTGAATTTAAAAGCAAATGTTGTTTAAATCAATATCGGTAAATGAAATAAGTGCATATAATTTTTATACAATGTAAAAGTTTAAGGAAAATAATTACATAGAAATTACAAAAATTATTGAAAAACCTTAAAAGAAATTAATTTATAAACCATATATATGAATGATATATAATGGTTAAAAATACATAAAAGCACCACAACATCAAAGAAAAATTCTATAAACTCAAATAATTTAGAGTTTCATTTGTTTCAAATACATTTTTTTTCTTAAAAGTTTCAACCAAACACAAAGAACATATATATCTCGAAAAGACGGATTCTTTCCATATGGGCGAAAGAGATTGCAGACCAAATAAACAGTTTTAAAATGCCTTATTTTAATTTCTTTTTGAAGTCTAGCACTAAATCCATTTCAATTTACATAATCCTAACCTCATATAAGAAAAAATTTTACAAGATTTTGTTCTAAAAGCCTAATGTGGAAGTGTTTTGTCCGAATAATATTATGTACACTATACACTATTAAACATGTCATTTCAATATCAAAGAACATATTTATTGCCACCACTGTAAATGACAGTTATCAAATGACAACTAAAAAACAAATAAAGTAAATGAAGGAAATTACTTAAATTTAAAAGTAAAGTAAATTATCTATAATCTAACAAAATAT